TGGCTCCGTGTGCGCCGCAGCGGGGAGGGCTCTGCCGCTCTCCCTGCATTGTTCTCTCCTCCAAGGTAAAGAAGCCGGCGAAGAAGCAGCCCTCGGAGTTGTCAAGGAAACCAAATCAGAAGGAGAAGAGGGGCCGAGCAGAGGAGAAGCCACGGAACAAGTCAGCATCTCCACATCTCCCCTCCCTCCCTCCCTCCCTCCCCTTTCCTCCTGGCAATGGGGCTGTTCCTCTGCAGCTCCAGCCCTGGCACCCCTGGGTGGGGATGGAGCTCGTGGGGCTGCAGCACCTGCAGAGGGGCCGGGTTTGTTCCTCCCCTCCTCTGAGCTGAGGGGGCTGGAGGAGGTGTGGGGGTTACCAGGATGGGATTCCGTGGTGGTTTCTCTCRTGGGGCTTTTCCTGTCTGCTGTCACCTGGGGGTGACCAGGGTGGAGGGGTCTTGGGGTGCTCCAGCCAATGCCACCCCCATTGTTAGGCCAGTGGTGAGCAGAGATTCACCACAACCACCTTCCCTCTTTTCCTCCCCTTCCCACAGACCTTTGAAAGTGGAAGGAAGAGGCCGGAAGAAATCTGACCCGATCCCCGAAAGGAGGATGGAGAAGAAAAAGGGTGAGAGAGCCACTTCTTCCCATCACCGAGGGGAGGAGAGGGAGGGGAAGGCTCCAGGGCTGATTCCAGAGCAGATCCTGGGCTCTGGGCAGGGCTTTGGGCTGGGCTGAGCCCTCACACCTCATCCTGTGTTTCTCTCTTTGCTCCAGAGCCCACAGTGGAAGAGAAACTCCAGAAACTTCACAGCGAGATCAAATTTGCGCTGAAGGTGGATAATCCGGTGAGTGGCCTGGCCTGGGCTGTCCCTGGGAATGCTCCTCCTCCTCCTCCTCCTCCCTTTGGGGGTGCCCCAGGTGCCCCCAGAACAGCTCCTGATCCCGGTGCTCTCCTCTCAGGACATCAAACGTTGTCTGAACGCGCTCGAGGAGCTGGGCACGCTGCAGGTCACCTCCCACATCCTCCAGAAGCACACRGATGTGGTGGCCACGCTCAAGAAGGTAGAGCAGAGGGCTGAGCCCTCGCTGGGGCGAGCGGGGAGCTCTGCCCATCCCCCCAAGCCCTAAGGGGGTCCCTCCTCCCCATCCCCGCGGCAGATCCGTCGCTACAAAGCCAACAAGGACGTGATGGAAAAAGCTGCCGAGGTCTACACCCGGTTGAAGTCGCGTGTGCTGGGACCAAAGATGGAATCCATCCAGAAAGCCAACAARGCCGGGCCTGAGAAGGACAAGGGGGAGGTGGAGAAGGGCCAGGAGAAGCTGTCGGGAGCAGAGACACGGAATGAGAAGGGGGAAGAGGAGACAAATGCTGGTAACGTTCCTGAGTGTCCCTGAACGTCCCCGAGCTGTTCTGGCATTGTCACAGGGTGTGGCCTGTCCTGCTGGGGACATGGGGACACGGAGAGGTGGCTCTTGGCCTCRGTGGTGTTGGGATCAGCACCTCCAGTGCTGCTGCAGTGCCAGGAGTGGGAAAGGGCTGGGTGTGCAGTGAGGGCAGAGGGCAAAGCTGGAGCCCCACACCCGGGCTCTGGGGGCCTCCACGCTGCGTTTTGGCCCAGGGTGGCTCCTCCCTGCCAGCCTGAGCTCTGGTCCAGGCAYGAAGGAATGTGGAGATGGCCTTGGACACCACTTGGGAGTGGTGACTGCAATCTTCCACCCTCAGAGCCAGGTCCCTGCCTGGAATTGTCCTGGTGATGCTGCAAGAGCCTTCCCAGAGGAACCGACAGGGAAAATCCACCCTGCTGGTGCCTCTGGGATGGGGGGTGGACATTTTGGGGTCCTGCTTGAAGCTGTGGGGTCAGGCCAGGCCTGGTGTCCTCTCAGGGACAATCTGTGGCCGTGGATCCTCAGTCCCCATGTGTTGGGATGGACGAGGGGGATCCAAGAGCCTGAACCTCTCTCTTTTTCTCCCCTTCAGACCTGTCGGGTCCTGTGAATGGTGAATCCCTGTCCCAAAAATCAGAGGGCACAGAGGAGAAGGACAAAAGCCAAGGGCCAGGAGCTGGGGAGCTGGAGGCRTCCACAGAGGAGCCCCACAACAAGTGAGTGTGGGGGGCAGGGCTGGGGGCTGGAGCCCCCCCTGACCCTCTGGGCTGATTTGGGGGTGACTCGTGGGTAAAAGGACAGAGCTGGGGTGTGGGAGAGGGGCCAGGAGAGGCAGAGGAGCCAGGGCTGAGCTCTCCTTGGCCCTGCTCTCCCCCAGCAGCCTCCAGGACTATCCCAAGGCCGGGCCGGAGCGGGAGCGGGAGGCTGCGGATGAGGAGGAGGAGGAGGAGGAGGAGGAGGAGGAGGAGAGCTGAGGAAGCAGCTCCCACCTGGAGCAGGAGGAGGAGGAGGAGAGGCTGTGACGGGAGAGCAGTCTGTGCCTCGTCCCTGCCTGAGTCACTTCACTAAGTCCCACCGTAGCCGATGTCCTTGGTCTTGTCCCGTGTCCCATCCCTGCGGTGGCACCACCTGTGGGGGGGCTGTGCTGGTGTCTGTATTTGTCCCTCTCCTCGTTTTTAATTTTTTTTTTTTTTTTTTTTGTTGTTTTTTTTTTTTTTTATTTTTTTCCCTCCTACCTAATTTCTTGTG